CTAACTAACTAACTAGCTAACTAACTAACTAAGTTGGTTTAGGTTCAGCAGACTGTATACGATTACTAGTATAGCTTTACGGAAGGGAGAAAAAAAAGCTATAGAGACAGTAAGGGTAGTATTTAAGAAGTGAGGAATAAATATGAATAGATAAAGATGGTAACGAGCCTGTAAGAGAACTGAAGAACATAGTGTTGTGATTAATTACACACCCATTTCGACAATTTTTAAAATGCGAGACTACGTTCAGGTTGAACAGTTGATAGATCAGATAGATCAGAAAAGTATGCCGACCCTATTGCCTGATAGCGAATCGATTCAAGGGCCGGACAATTACATAGAAGGTGAGTAATTGTTTCCTCTTCTTCTTCATTTTGTCAGCTCCTACAGAAGTCATTGTATGGAAGACCAATGCGTCTTGCATGTTTTCCGAACTCCGAACTTGGAATGACCAGTAAGAACTGATAACAGTGTGCTCAGATGTGTTCTGCTTAGCCGTAATATATAGGATGTTTTATGAGGATCCATATAGGGCCATACCATCTTAGCAATCGAGCAAGTGTATTCTTGAGATCATCGGTCTTTAGATGAACTAAAACAAATGTTGTAAATTTGTTTCTTAATGGCCGCCGCAGAATAACTAACTAAGTAACTACCTAACTAACTAACTACAAAGAAAAAGAAAACAGGGGTTTCAAAACTTTATGCGACGATATCGCGAAAACATATTATGACAAGCCAATTCTATCAAAATCAGAACAGATCGGGTTTCTATATATTTTTTATACATTCCGGCTTTATTTTACGGCGAAGAAAACAGAAGTCTTTAAAACCGATAATATGTCATTTAGAAACTAGTAGTTTTTTCCTTGAAATCAAATCAAAAACTGCTTTCAAGTCTTTTTTGATGAAACCTCATGAAAACCAAATAAAAAAATAAATTTAAAACAAATAAAAACGTTTTATTTAAACAAATACTGCCAGATATTTTGAATTATACTAAAAATATAACACTTTCGTACAGTTAATTTAGTGAACAGCTGAGCCAATGCGAATTCATATCAGGTAATCTATCCACAACAGCTGATTTTTTCAGCAATGCCCATACTGTCAAACTTCATATATAAAAAACTCGTAAGACAACTAGATATGTCAAATGCCATATATGACAAAAATATATAATTCAACTGTCTTAAGTACTTAGGACACCTTTTATAAATTCACCTCAAACTGTAAAATTGAATTCCAAATAAACATCACTTCACATGCAATCATCGTTTTCAGAATGAAATTATTATTGAATAATTTGTTAAATTTAACAAAAACCTATAAACAATTAAATAACTCAACAGTTTTTTGTTTATTCCAACAAAGGAACTATTGTATAGCAATTAATAAACCAGAAGAACAACGTGCCGAAACTATAGCCAGAGAAAAAATCAAAGAACAGCAAGCGGCACAACAGAAATCTTTAAGTATTGCGGTAATAGGTGTTCCAAATGCCGGTAAAAGTACTTTTATAAATAATTTAATAAATCACAGAGTAAGTAGTAAAATGAGTAAAAAAGCTTATATAGGTATTTTTTATAAATAAACAATATTTTCTTATGAATGCTTGAAAAGGTCTGTCCCACCTCCAGCAAGGTGCACACTACTAGAAAATCCAATAAAGCCATTTATACCACAGGACAAACACAGCTTATATTTTACGATACCCCCGGTTTGGTGACACAAAGAGAAATTAAAAAACACAAATTGGATCAGTCTTTCAAAAGTTCCTATCGCCATGCCATTCAACATGCCGATATGATTGCTGTTATACATGATGCCTCCAATAGCTGGACACGCAAGCAGTTACATCCTACAGTAATGGATAGTTTGAAAGCCTATCCCCATTTGCCCAGTATTTTAATATTAAACAAAATTGATGCCTTAAAATCGAAACGAATAACCCTAGAGCTGATACGTTTGCTAACGAATAACACCTTAACCGGCTTAAGGAAACAAACTAAAACCCATAAGAAACGTTTACACGGTGAGCAAAAGCCGGATGATAATAGCTCCACTGCTAAAGAGTCCACAGTAGAGTTTGGAGAACTTAACAAAACTGAAGGCTCTTGGAGTAATTTTAGTGAAGTATTTTTGGTATCCTCCATAACAGGCAATGGCTTAAATGATGTTCATGTAAGTTAAACATGATTAGGAATTATTATCTTATCTTTTTAAATAACTCTTCCTTCCTTTAGGATTTCCTAATAGATGCGGCCAAAATCAAACCCTGGCAATATTCAAGTGATACCTTTACCGATGAAACTCCAGAAGATATCATAGTTGAAAGTGTTAGGGCTCGCCTATTGGACTATTTGCCTCAAGAGATACCCTACAATTTAAAAACCTCTATGGAATATTACAGTGTCGACAACAGTTAAGCTTATTTCAAAAGAAAGAAATATTTTAAACTAATAAATTCTTATGTAAATATTTTTAGACACCATTTATGCTTCAGTTGAGGTGATATGCCCTAGTAAACGCATTGAACGTCTTATTTGTGGTGAATCGAATGGTAGATTAAGACAAATTACTGAACGTGTTACTTCAGATTTGGTTGAAACATTTGGCAAACCCATATCATTTACAATTGCCACCAGACCCAAACAAACGATTGAAGAGTTAAAGGAAAATTAAAATGGGGAAAAGTTTTTGAATTATATTAAGATTAATTTTATTGTTGTTTATTTAAAAATTAAAACCTTTGAATAAGAAAAGTTTTGTTAAAAAAAGTAAAATGTTTTTTGAATTCTGTGAAAATAAATAAGAAGTATAATTACATATTTGCGTATGTTTTACTTAACTAGACTAGTCTACTGTCTAGCCTATATACTAATTTATTGTGTAGTCTACTGTCTTGACCATAGAATTGTCTATCGCTATTACATTGTCAAATCTATGGATATAGTATATTTTCCATTAATTAGATTTAGATTAGTCTGTTTTCTAGTCTACAGAATAGTATATATTCTAAGGAGAAACCTAGTTTATGAAGTAGTCTGTTGTCTTTAGTCTAGTTTATGGACAGTCCTCTGTCTAGTCTTTAGGCTATCTGTTTTCCATTAATTAGATTTAGATTAGTCTGTTCTAGTCTATAGAATAGTATATATTCTAAGGAGAAATCTAGTTTATGAAGTAGTCTGTTGTCTTTAGTCTAGTTTATGGACAGTCCTCTGTCTAGTCTTTAGGCTATTCTGTTTTCTAGTCTACAGACTACTCTATTGTCTTGTCAATAGATAATCATATTTTCTAACCCATGGACTAGTCATTTGACTAACTAAATGGCTTATTTATAGTTTCATATTGATATAAATTTGCAAAAAAAGGACAATTTTTAATGCTGTTTTGTAAAATTTAAATATTCCACTTACCATCCCTCATTTTCACAGATTTACTCAGGGCGTATGGGGGGAAATTCTTACTTTTACTCTCTATCTTACTTTTCTGTCTCCTCTCTAACATTCTTGTCCTTTATTCTTCATTAAAGGGAAACACAATGGACCCTTTGGGTCTCCGAGTGGATGTATATCTTGGGTATACAACCCTTTTAAACTAAACTATACTCAGAGCGTACTAAATACAAGGTGAAGTGGGTAAAGCAGCTCATTATTTTTCTCGTTTAAGTTGTAACTATCTATCTATCTATCTATCTATCTATCTATCTATCTATCTATCTATCTATCTATCTATCTATCTATCTATCTATCTATCTATCTATCTATCTATCTATCTATCTATCTATCTATCTATCTATTATCTATCTATCTATCTATCTATCTATCTATCTATCTATCTATCTATCTATCTATCTATCTATCTATCTATCTATCTATCTATCTATCTATCTATCTATCTATCTATCTATCTATCTATCTATCTATCTATCTATCTATCTATCTATCTATCTATCTATCTATCTATCTATCTATCTATCTATCTATCTATCTATCTATCTATCTATCTATCTATCTATCTATCTATCTATCTATCTATCTATCTATCTATCTATCTATCTATCTATCTATCTATCTATCTATCTATCTATCTATCTATCTATCTATCTATCTATCTATCTATCTATCTATCTATCTATCTATCTATCTATCTATCTATCTATCTATCTATCTATCTATCTATCTATCTATCTATCTATCTATCTATCTATCTATCTATCTATCTATCTATCTATCTATCTATCTATCTATCTATCTATCTATCTATCTATCTATCTATCTATCTATCTATCTATCTATCTATCTATCTATCTATCTATCTATCTATCTATCTATCTATCTATCTATCTATCTATCTATCTATCTATCTATCTATCTATCTATCTATCTATCTATATATCTATCTATCTATCTATCTATCTATCTATCTATCTATCTATCTATCTATCTATCTATCTATCTATCTATCTATCTATCTATCTATCTATCTATCTATCTATCTATCTATCTATCTATCTATCTATCTATCTACCTATCTATCTATCTATCTATCTATCTATCTATCTATCTATCTATCTATCTATCTATCTATCTATCTATCTATCTATCTATCTATCTATCTATCTATCTATCTATCTATCTATCTATCTATCTATTTATCTATCTATCTATCTATCTATCTATCTATCTATCTATCTATTATCTATCTATCTATCTATCTATCTATCTATCTATCTATTATCTATCTATCTATCTATCTATCTATCTATCTATCTATCTATCTATCTATCTATCTATCTATCTATCTATCTATCTATCTATCTATCTATCTATCTATCTATCTATCTATCTATCTATCTATCTATCTATCTATCTATCTATCTATCTATCTATCTATCTATCTATCTATCTATCTATCTATCTATCTATCTATCTATCTATCTATCTATCTATCTGTCTATCTATCTATCCAACTATTTCATCATATACAAAGCATCATTTAGTTAACACAACTAATATTTATTAACAAATAAAATATTTACAATATCATTTATTTTTTTTACAATAACTTTAAATGGCCCACTAATTTGTCAATCCTCTCTACGGTATCAGGTCCTATACCCAAAACAGTAGCTGTGCCGGCAGCCAATTGTGTGCGGCCAGCATCCTGCACTAACGCTGATACAACCCCACACTCCGCAGCTTTCTGTTGTAACTGAATCAGATCATCGTAACCGCCATCTACTTTTAAAACAATTTTTGGTTGTCCCTTCACCAACCAGGAATCCAAAAGTTGTTGAGCCTGCTTATCATTACTAGACTGAGCTTCCTGAACACATAGCACAGCAGCATGAGCACATTGGGCAGCAGTTTTACCTTTAGACATTTTTAAATCGGCACGGACTATTAGCGCTAGCTTAGTGGGAGGACAGGGTAAAGATTTGACCATTTTCAAAGCAGATTGTAATAATTTCGTCATCTTGTGTTTGGGTTTTAAGTAAATTATAATTGCTGTTTTGTCTTAATTTGTTAGTTTACTTAATATGGGCGTATTTTTTGCTCTGGGCATCAACATACTTTTGCATACAGTCCTTGAATTCTTTCACCTTATCCTGACAACTGCGCCAATCACCGGTTTCCGCAATACACTCTTGTACTTTGTAATGTAATTCAATGCAGCCAGTTTTCTTTAGCATTACCTCAACTGGATCCTGATCAGAGTCTGACATTATTTGGTGAAGTTTTTAATTGATAATTTTTGAATAAAATGTTTAGCAAAATGTATTTGATGAAAACGTATGTAACTACATAACAATCAACAACAGGAACACAAGATGATAAATTATCTTCTTTAACAACATGCATTATAACAGTTTGAAACATATGGTGGGTCTAGACAGTGCTAAGTTGACAATGATGATGGACAATAATGGTGAATAATAATTTTAAAGATGTGTGGTGAATAACTAAAATAATTAAAAACATATTAGGGAATTCATTGCTACAAAGTGAATCAAGGTGAATTTTTCATATAAACAGTGAGTTTTTTATATAAACAATGTGAAAAATGTTCGTATTACATGGAGTTTGACAGCCTTTCGATACATTCCCACTATCAAATGACTTCAACTTATTTGAATACCCTTCGAAACAGCTTTTTTCAGTGAGGTATTCCATGTATTTCCTTTCGCACAAAACCTGTTTAAAACCTAAGTTGACGTAGGTTTATCTTAATTAGGCTCAAATCATAAGAAAACACCAAAATTTACTTCAAATTTAATCATTTATATGCATTTATATATTCAATAAAACATAGGTTATGTATTTTTTGTTAATTTAGCAATAATTAGAAAATTGCAAAATATTTCATAAATGATTATTATGTATAAATCAAAAAACATGTTAAAGATAATGTGAAAAAAAATTATAAAAATACAATATAAGGCCATTTCGAAGATAATACATTGTTTTTAACAAATTTGGAAGGAAACTAAATAAACAAAATTGTTAAACATAAGTGTGTATGATGTAAATGAAAGTTTCTTTCATCAGTTTTCCGATATAATTTCTTTTACGAAAATTACCATTTAACCTGTACCGTATCACTTTCTTGTAACGAATAAAAATCCAAAGTTTTGGATAAATTATCTAAAGGTACTATTAAATCGGGATATTTATGATCAATATAACTCAATTGTGGTGAATAATTGGTGGAATCCATTTGAAAATGTTTTACAATAAGACCAAGTAAAGTTTGTACTGTAATCATACGGGGACATTTCTTTTCCCACACTTCGCCTGTTTGAGTATTTAATATGCGTATTTTAATTAATTTTGAGATTTTCTTATTGTTGGGTATAAACTCGGCCGGCGAACCATATTCTGTAAAGATTTAAAACAATTATATTTAAACACATATGTAGATCAAAATTACTCTACTCACTTCTTATAATTGTAGCATATGAGCGATGCTTTTTATAAAACTCCTTTAGGGTTTCTGGAGATTTTGAAGCTTGCAACCATTCTACTGCATATTTCTTCCATATATCATACTCCGCTCCACGCCTTTCTTCGGCCGTTAAATGTATTTTATTTAAAACTTCTAAATTTGAGATCGATGCAACTGCTTTAGCAAACATTTCATCAAAGTCCGATTTTAAATCGGGTGTTTTGTACAACATTTTTAAACGTGGCAATTTATCCAATTCATTGAACGCCTCGGTTTCATTCCATATTGGATTATAAAGTAGATTTAATTGTTCCAAGGCATTGAACATATCCAATTTAACGTTTGCATCGCAATCGGGTAATTTGATTTCTTCAATGCCATTTTCCATGAGATACAGTGATACTAATGTCTTGATATTGCCCAATTTACAAACTTGATCAAAATCCATTAACTTGGTGCGATGTAAATCTAGTTCTCTGTAATTGTATGCAGAAAGTTACTCCATGTAGTTTGGTATACTTTAAGGAAAAGGTAAAAAACACTTACTTTAAATTCCTGAAAATCTCTTTGGTATTTACAACGCTTAGTTCACTTATGGGATTCTCCTGTAAACCCAACGATTCTATGAAAGGCCACAAACGAGCCGTTTGCATTACATGAGCCCAATCAGTAAAACCACAATTGCGTAAATTTATATATTTCAGGTTATTGAAAGCTTGAGATAATTCGGACACTTGGGAGTCGTTGGGCAATACCAAACGGTTGCCGCTATAGGAAAAATAATGTTTTATAACAACATTTTACGCTCTGTCGACATGGAAAAACAAACCTTAAATTCAAATCTCTCAAAGTGGGTACTTGCTGACATATATCCGCTATTATTTCCCAATTCCAAACTAAGGTATGAGTCAAATTCAGGGTGGTTAAGGAAGTAAACTCCTTCAAATAGCCCGCCGAATTAATGGGACAATTGTCTACACTGATTTCGCTCAATTGTTCAAATTTACTTTGTTTACGTGCCAACTTATCCATGCCCACAATTTCAAACAAAGGCGCCTGTATAGAAGCCTGAGTTTCACGTATCAACTGTTTATCCAAAGCATTGTCAGTATAGCCCAAGTAACGTTCACGTGCTGCCTCTTCTAGTGATTCGCAGGGACCAACTTTTCCGGGACGTATAAAACTGCCAGCAGTCGGATGCATACTATAGAAATAATGTTTACCATCGACGGTACCATTATGTTTGCCCCTCTTAGGATCATCCCATTCAATGCCCAGCCAGTTGCCTTGATAACCCGCAACCTACAAAACTCTAATTAGTATTTTCTTATTTTTTGGGCTTAAACCCATATTTATGTTTACCTCTCCCACATAGCGTACGGTACCATAGTTTTCGCCAATCTTTATGCGTGTTCCCAACGGGTAACGCAAGCAGGTGTCATCCAATATACCAACCATTTCGTCTAGCAGCCGCCCTACCCTTGCTTGAGTGTTAAGACTCTGTGTTGGTGTTGTGTTTTTGTTGTTTATTTTTACTACTTTTTCGCACTGTTTAATTCTTTGTTTTGGTTTTACTACGTTTTCTAGATGATTCACTTGCTATTTTTAAGAAAAATTTAATTTGATTAATTTGGCAAATAACAATTGTTTGTTAAATTGTAAGGAAAATTGATTTTCCTGTTTTTTTTTTCTATCTGTTTTTATTTATGTGTATCTTTTATATATTTTCTTATTATTGCAGTAATATTTTGTTCACTTTTCGTGTGTTGTTTTTCTTCTTTTTGAACTCTCTTTGCCTCACGTCATTTAATTGGAGAACAAAGCTGGTCAAGTCGTGTGCTAACGGCGTTTACATTTTTGTTTACACTTTTTGCAATATGCATAATTTTATAGCACACGCATGTATTTGACATTTTAACAAATTCTACTCTTTCGTTCGCTTTAATCTACATATGTATGTAGATTTTTAATAAAGTCCAATTTTTTTTATTTTAGAGAGCAAAAAATGCATTCCTTCTTTTCTAAAGTATTGGCAACATTGATGTTAGGATGTAAACAAAGAAACAGTATTATAGCACCTCAAGGTGATATAAAATAAGGTGCAGTAGATTATAGAATTTGAATGCTAATATGTCGAATTATGTATATAAACATTTTAGCCATAAAGCGCCTTGGCGACACTTCAAATTGTTTGACACAAATGGTAAGTTTTTTGATTGTGTTAGTAAAAAAAATCACACCGCATATATACATGTGAGATTTTTCACTAACACTATCAAAAAACTTACCGTTTGAGTCAAACAAATTTGATGTGTGGCGCTGTCGCTTAACACTTTTCTGTCAAAAAATATAAATGTAATACATTTGATTCTGCTTTCACCTCACTAAATACACCTTACAAATGAACATAAATATGTAAATATTTATGTCGGCAAAAAAAAGGAACAAATAGTTTTGTGTAAAAAAGTTTTTCCCCGATTTAACCAGTAATTAAAGTACACGTAGTTCCTCCATTTGCCCTGTACAATTGATATTAATATCATTTCAGTTTCACTAGAAACTTCAAGGAGAATTGTTGTTTATTTTCGTGTTAAATTGTGAATATATTTTAAAATGGATGAAGAAGGAGAACAAAAGCAATGTGTAAGTTAACAATTTGTTTTGTTGCCCTTTTACAGATAATTTACGTGGAATTATTTTGTAGCTTCAAGCAAGACCATATCAATTAGAATTGCTGGATTATGTGAGCAAAAGAAATGGTATTATTTATTTGCCAACTGGAGCTGGGAAAACTTTTATTGCGGTTTTGGCATTGAAACGCTTTTCGCCCCAACTAAAGGAGTGAGTATTGTTATTAAGAAATTAAGTTTTTTTGTATATATCCAGAGGAATAGATTTTGTTTTACTTAAAATGTGCATCATTGTGAAATTGCATTGGGGTGTGGTTTGCATGTCAAGAGATGGCTCCTGCAACTTTTATCAGTTTGTTATTTTTTTACAACGAATCATCAGCCTGTGGATCAAAGTCCTAACCTCACTTAAACTTTCTTAAAATAATCTTTTACATGTTTGCTTTATTATGTAGGTATTTGTGTTTCATGCAATTAATTTGGAATTCCCCTATTTTATAGTAAATACTTATAATGTATTTCGTATATGTAAGAGAATGTAATTTATTGGGGAGTTTGTTACATGATGGTGAATTGTTGTTAGTAATAACCAAATATGAGTGTCAGATTAGACATATTACACAATCAAGTTGTGTTGTTTACCAGGGCAATGTAATGTAAGGAAAATAAGAAGGCAGGTCAGATCCAGACAATACCAAGAAAACGGTGTAAAAATAGGAAAAAGATATTTTAACTTCAGTATACGTATTTCTTCACTTTATACTTTTAAAGGCCCAATTGATTTTGGTTACAATTGATCCATGATTTCGCATAGTTCCCATATTAAGATCTACTCTAAAATAATGAAGGAGCAGGAAGTTTTATCTATATTTCCGCTGTTATAGGTCTTCAAGTGGATGTAATGCATTTAAACTAATATCACTTACATACATACATATGTATGTATGTATGTTAAAAAATATTTATTTATCTTCAAAATTTAAAAACTTTTTTCCACTCTGTTCTACAGAACTGTACAAAATGGAGGTAAACGAGCAATTTTTATGTGTAATACGGTAGAGTTGGCACGCCAACAACATAAGGTATTACAAAAGACTACCAATTTAGAGATTGGCCTCTACATAGGCGAACGAGACGTTGACAATTGGACACGCCGACAATGGGAAACGGAAATTCAAAAGAATCAAGTGAGATCATTTACATTTGTAAAAAAATTCCATAAAAACAAAAGTTCTATATTTGTAGGTTCTAGTAGGGACAGCACAAATATTTCTCGATATAGTC